ATTGTTTGCAACAGTAAAAAACAAAAACTGTCTTAATACTCATGCACAAAAGAAGTGGTTTTAAAGTTATGGTATCTGTACAGTAGATTATATTACAAGTTATTAAAAAGAAAGATTTGTAGGGATCAGCACTGTGAAATAGTGGGTAAGGCCACTGCCTACAGAGCCGGCATCCCATATCAGCACCAGTTCAAGTTCCAGCTGCTCCACTTCTGATCTAATTCCCTGTAATGTACTTGGGAAGGCAACAGATAATCACTTAAATGCTTGGGCCCCTGCTACTTATGTAGAGAACTTGGAGGAAGCTCCTGGTGTCAGACCATTATAGCTATTTGGGGATTAAACCAATAAATGCAATAGCTCCTCCTACCCACTCTGCCTTTTGACTAAATAAAACAAACAAACAAAAAATGAGATTTGTGATGAAGGTTACCTGCCATGAACCAATACTCTGCAGCAGGAATGAACCACAAATGCAAGCCATGTATCCAACTGAGAATCTTTAAAAAGTATATTAAATAGAAGCAAGTAAGTTAGCTTTAATAAAATGTTTTGCCTACCCCAGTATTTAAAATATTATGACTTCCGTACATGATCAGTATGAACCAGTTCCGAGATGAATTTTTGTGGTAACTATGGCCATAGAATCTGTTGATTTACCAACAGAAAAGCGCTATCTTCACCTCTGGAAAAGCTCCCCCATTGTATTTGGGCATGCTTGGAATGTGCTTTTTTACTCTTGACCACAAGATAAGGACAGTATAAATAATTAAGATCTCAAGGTTACCCAATGGGCTTCTTTACTCATAGTTAGCAAATGCCTAAATACTGCTACATGAAAGACCCAGTTGATAGCCCCCCCTTGAGCCCTCTGGATCTAGGTGCCTCATGGAGATCCAGAGACGGTGCAGGGTCTGGATGCGCGGAGGAGGGTGATTGCGCATGGACTTACTCTTGGCTTTCTCCTTGTGGCTCCATACACTGTCGTGAGTAAGCCCAGAGAAACCCAGTGAATCCTGTCTGCACTGGAAACCAGACTCCTCTACAGCAACTATGGCACAAAGGGAAGTGGTGACCTGTGTACTAGCAATGCTAGATTAGCTCTGAGTGCCCAAGAGTGTGTGTTTTCTTAAGATCAACCACTGAAAAGTACAGAGATCTGACTGGAGAGTCAAGGGTATAAGCTAAAACGGAATCAAACAGGTCACAGGAATTGTGGCATAATAGGTTAAGCCACCACTTTTTTAAAGATTTATTTTTTTATTATTTTTATTGGAAAGGCGGATATACAGAGAGGAGAGACAGAGAGGAAGATCTTCCGTCTGATGATTCACTCCTCAAGTGAGCGCAACGGTCGATGCTATGCCGATCCGAAGCCAGGAGCCTCTTCCAGGTCTCCTGTGCGGGTGCAGGGTCCCAAAGCCCTGGGCTGTCCTCAACTGCTTTCCTGGGCCACAGGCAGGGAGCTGGATGGGAAGTGGGGCTGCCGGGATTAGAACCGGCGCCCATATGGGATCCTGGGCATGCAAGGCGAGGATCTTAACCACTGCTCCATCGCGCCGGGCCCAAGCCACCACTTTTTAGTATCCCATGTCAGACTGCAGATTCAAGTCACAGCTGAGTTGCTTCCAGTCCAACTTCCTGCTAATGGATGTGGGAAGCAGTAGATGATGGCCCACAAACTTTGGTTTCTGCTACCCTTGTGGGAGACCTGGATGGAGTTGACGGTTCCTGTCTTCTGGTTAGTCCAACCCAGGCTGTTGTCAGTATTTGGAAAGCAAACCAGGTTTGAAGATCTCTTTGTCTTCCTCTCTATATCATTCTACCTTTCAAATAATAAAATAATTTAAAAAGAAGTAGAGAAAGGACACAATGGGACAACTTAAAAATTCAGTGGAAAGCCTCAATTGTAGAGTGAGCAAGGCATAAGAAAGAATCTCAGAATTGGAAGACATTTCTTGCCATAATGAGAAAACAATCAGCAAACTGCATGTGGGACTGAGTCAAGCTGAGAAAAGTATTCAAGGGACTCTATTAAAGGCTGAATATAAGAGTTATGGAAGTTCCAGAAGGCACAGAAAGACAAACTGGGTTTAAAAATGTATTCAATGAAATAATAAAGGAAAACTTCCCTAATTTGGAGAAAGAATTGGGAAACAAAATACAGCAGGGACACATAACTCCTGAATAGGGTTGACCAAAAGCGATCTTCATCACAACACATGATAATCAATCTCTCTTCAGTTAAACACAGGGATAAGATTGTGAAAAAAAAAATCCGTTAACGTACAGCAGAACCCCAGTCAGACTCACTGCTGACCTCTCAGAGGTCTCTACAGGCCAGCAGAGAACTGATTGACATATTTCAGATTCTCAAAGGAAAAAAATTGTCAGCTCAGAATAACCTACCCAGCAAAGCTTTCCTTTGTCTTTGAAAATGAAATAAAATTCTACAACAGTAAAGAAAAGTTCAAAGAATTCTTCTAGACCTGCCCTTCAAATGATACTTAAAGATGTTCTAGTAACAGAGAAAAGAAATAGCACCTACCAACACCTAAGGCCAATATGAAGAATGTCCCAATAAAACAGCCAAGGAAGACTAAATCAAACAATGAACAATCCATTGCTAAAATGATGGGACCAAATTACTACCTGTTGATGTTAACCGTGAACGTAAATGGCTTAAGCTAATCAATCAAATGTCATAGATTAGCAGACTGGATCAAAAACCAAAACCCATGTGTCTGTTGCCTGTAGGAGACAAATCTTACCGACAAAGGTATGTGAGGCCTGAAAGTGAAAGGATGGAAAAAGATATCCCAGGCTAGCGGGTAGAAAGAACGAGCCGAGTAGCCCTTCAGTCAGATGGTATAGAATTTTATGTGAAAAATATTAAAAGCGATGAAGAAGGACACCACATAGTGAGCAAAGGATCCATTCAACAAGAAGAGATCACCTTACTCGTTTTTTAGGGTGTCTTATTTTTCAGTCTAATTCTGTTTGGTTTTTCTTTCTTGTTCTTCTTTGCTAGTCTAGTTAAAAGTTTGTTTTGCTCATCTTTACTCTTTTTTTTTTCTTTTTCTTTTTTCTTTCTTTTTTTAATTGTTATTAACATTGTATTATGTGATACAGTTTTATAGGCACTGGGGATTCCCCCCGCTCATCTTTACTCTTAATGGTTTATTTATTTTTATTGAAAAGTCAGATTTACAGAGAAGGAGAGACAGAGGGAAAAATCTTCCATCTGCTGATTCACTCCACAAGTGGCTGCAGCCGCTGGAGCTGAGTCATTCCGAAGCCAAGAACCAGAGCTTCCTACAGGTCTCCCACTCAGGAGGCCTTGAGCCATTCTCTGTTGCTTTCCCAGGCCACAGCAGGTTGCTAGATGAGACGTGGGGCAGCCAGGATACCAGTTGGCACCCATATGGAATCCCAGAGCATGTAAGGCAAGCACTTTAGTCACTAGGCTACCACACCAGGCCCTTTTGCTCATCTCCTTAAAAAAAAAATGGCTGTTTCTTGTTACAACTTTTTATTTTTTCCATTCCAATTATTTTTTTCTGTGCTTTTATCATTTCTTGCTTCCTGTTCATTTTTTTTTAATAAGTGCTTGAGATGCATTATTAGACCACTTATTTGAGATATTTCTATTTTTTGTAAGCACCTGATGTTATAAATGTCCCTCTCAATACTATTTTAGTTATATCTCATAGGTTTGGGGTATTTCTGTTTTTATTTTCATTTCTTCAAAAAAAGTTTCCTTACTAGTTTCCTCAGTGACACATAGATCATACACATTGCATCATTTTCTTCAAGGTTTTTTATTTTCTTTTTCATTTCTTCAGTGATACATTGGTTATTCAGTAGCATGTTATTTAACTTCAAGTTGTAAATTTTCAATTTTTCTTCCTGTTGATTTTTTAAAGATTTATTTTACTTTTATTGGGAAGTGAGATACACAGAGAGGAGGAGAGACAAAGAGGACCATCTTCCATCCATTGATTCACTCCCCAAGTGGCTGCAGTGGCCGGAGCTGAGCCAGTCTGAAGCAAGGGGCTCAGAGTCTCTTACAGATCTCCCATGGGGTGCAGGGTTCCAAGGCTTTGGGCCATCCTTGACTGCTTTCCCAGGCCACAAGCAGGGAGTTGGATGGGAAGTGGGCTGTTGGGATTAGAACCAATGCCCATATGAGATCCCAGTGCATGCAAAGCGAGGACTTTAGCCACTAGGCTACTGCGCCAGGCCCTATTGATTTTGTTTTATGGCTTTTCATTTAAGGGGATGCACAGCAACTGTGTAATAAAGACTATTATATTCAGATGTGAAGATACAATGTAGTATGTATCTCTGCTTCCAAATCAAAGATAGACTGCCAATGATACTGTTGAATATATCTCTACGGTAGGATGCTGGACTCTCTACCATTGTCCTAGCTACAATGTCAGGATGCACTTAAATAGCAGAATGATGGGCCTATGATTGTTTATGAAGGACTGCAATATTGTAATGTAGGGGCAGCCAGCGGGGAGATGGGATTTGGGATGAGAAATCCCAGAGCCTATGAAACTGTATCATAAAAAATAAAATAAAAAAAAAAAAGATATGCAGAGTACCAAAGAAAAGAGAAAAGGAATGAAGGAAGGGAGAAAGGAGGAAGGAAGGAAGGAAAAGAGACGGAGAGAGAAAGGAAACAAAAGAAAAGAGAGAGAAAGAGATTCCAGGCTGCAGCTTTAATTCCTTGTTGGCAGAAACTACCCTTTTTACCCTGCCCCCACAGCCTGTGGTGTGCATCTTTGCTACCATTGGGTACTCAATAAATATTTGTTTAGTTAATTAGTTAAGAGTAATTTCAAAAATTGCCTATCTAGTCAGTCTGAAATACAATTAGAATCCTGCTGTGTTTTCAGAATTGTTTATTCCACCTGCAGTGTCATTCTCTTACCAAATTCTGCCTTCAAGGAAATGGTCCTGGCTGAGCAGGGTTGGATCTGCCGTTGCAGGGGTCTGTGGCCTTCGGGGACGTGGCCGTGTTCTTCAGCCAGGATGAGTGGTTGCACCTGGACTCTGCCCAGCGACGTTTGTACCGGGAGGTGATGCTGGAGAACTACAGCAACCTGCTGTCCGTTGGTAATGGGTTCTGCCCTCATTATGTGAAGAATCTGCAATGCAGGTGCCTTAGAAGGGTCAAGAAAGGTCAACTGTAAAGCTAGAAGTGTGCATTTTTGTTGGTGTTTCCTTCATGCTATTCTTTCCTTTTTCCTCTGCCTTGCCTTACACACCACTCCAAATCAAAATTTTCTTCCTGGAGTAGATCCCAGTTAAGATTCTGTACTTGATCTTAGCCCAAAGGCCGAGAAGCAATCCCAGTGAAGATTCTGAAGAATATCAGAGAAGCAATAGCTGTGGGAACCAAAAAACAAAACAAAAAAAGAATCTGGAGGACATGACAGATTCCCACCTTAGAGGCACTGATGGCCAGAGCCCTGCTATTTCTCAGCACACCCTGTTTTTGCTCCACCTGCCAAATGTTCCATGCCTGCAGAGCACACTCTCCTTGCTCCCCAACCCAGGCTTGCCTTCTTTGTGTGCTTCAGAGTGAGTGGTATTGAGTTTTAGAATTGCGCTTCATGCCATTCCCTCAAGCTATATTTCTTTCCTTGTAATCAGGGATTCTGTTTTCAACGCCAAAGGTCATCTACCACTTGCAACGAGGAGAAGATCCAAGTGTGGAGGAAAAGGAGGTCCCTCCAGACGCCTGTCTGGGTAAGTATCTGGGAAAAGAGACCCTGGGTGGCCCTCACAGATGCTCAGGTCATGAGGAGGCAGTGCTCTGGAAACTGTCCACAATCCCCCAAGGAGATGTTTAGGACTAGTTAAAAGTATATTTCAGTTGTGTGGTTTATTCAAACATACTGTTATCTGATTGAACCAATCTAGTTTTGATCTATTTACAGCCATGAATTGATGTAAGAAAGCCAGGTTTCAGCCTTAGAATAAGCTCAAACTAAATCTTGTTGCCCACAACAAAGATGAGTTTGAGGTTTGGGCGTAATTTGAAACTGAAGGCATATTGATATTAGCTTTCCTGCTGATCTTCAGTATTTCCCAGCATTCCTAGAAAGTGCTACCTTCTTCTTGTACATTATTAAAAGTAATGACTGTGTCTCATTATCCAAGAGAAAAAAGGACAATGTAATGGAAGGGTCATATGAAAAAAGTCATCAACTCCAGTGAGAGCTAGATTGTGACACATGGCTGGTTGGCAGCATTTTCTTCTTTATAATTAGCACCCTAAACTCTGATCAGATGTTATCAACAGCTATTTTTTACAGTTATATTATTTTAAAAACATCTCTCATCTTAGCAGAGTCTTTCTCCTTTCAATCTGATACGAAGTCATAAAATTTAAGAAAACAAATCCAGATATCTTAAAATTATTGTGTGTATGACTTCGGAGAGGGCATGGGAAAAGATATGGCGGAAGTGACAGGTGAATGGAAAGGAGGAAGTAGAGACAAGTTTGCTGCTTAGTTACCTCGTGTATGGAGTGGAGAATGATGAGAAACTGCAATAGTTACCGTTAGCTTTTCACCTGACATCATTCCCCTCTTTCTGATGTGACTGACATCATTTCTCCCCGAGTTGAGTGTCTTCATTTTCACTGTTAACCTGTGGTGTGTTCTCCACACTGCTGCTTCCTGTCTCCCTGTCGTTCCATGGCCATCCTGGTGCGCTGCACACCAGCTCTGTGTTTGTGATCTGATGACAACTGTCTCTTGTGCATAGAGAGTTGCCAATTCCATTGTCCTGCCGAGGCATCGCATTCCTTTTCCAGCAGAGGCAACAGTAATTCTTCTGATTCATTCCAGATTTCAAGACTTGTCCTAAAACAGAAGCATTGCATCCCAAAAAGAGTACTTTTGTAAAAGAACCCTCTCAGGGAGTGTTAAAGAAAAAGCCCATTGATTATGACCACTGGGACGCCAACTTTGGAGAAGCTGTTAAAATTGAGAGTGAGAGAGAACAGGGGCAACAGAAGAAGTCACTGGGACAAATGGAGGCCTCACCAGAGAAAAGCCCTCAAGGGGATGAAGGTCATGCAAGTCTTTCATTGGGGGAAGACTTACTTGTCAACACAGTTCTGGATTCACAACAGCATCCTGCTACAGAAAGGGCACCGCAAATGCATTACACCTTAGGGAAAGATTTTAAACAGAATGTCGATCTCATGAGATGCTTCCCGGTTTACCCAGGATCAAAACCTTATATGTGTAATGAGTGTGGAAAGAGTTTCACCCAGAATCTTCATCTGATTGAGCACCAGCGCATCCATACCGGTGAGAAGCCCTACAAGTGCACTGAGTGTGAGAAAGCTTTCAGCCACAGGTCCTCCCTGCTTGCCCATCAGAGGGTTCATACTGGGGAGAAGCCCTATAAGTGCGGCGAGTGCCAAAAAGCCTTTGGTAGCAGCTCAACCCTTATCAAACACCTGAGAGTACACACTGGGGAGAAACCCTATCGGTGTAGAGAGTGTGGCAAAGCCTTCAGCCAGTGTTCAACCCTCACTGTGCACCAGAGAATCCATACCGGAGAGAAACTCTATAAATGTGGTGAGTGTGAGAAGGCCTTCAATTGTAGAGCAAAACTACATCGACACCAGAGAATCCATACAGGTGAGAAACCCTACAAGTGCAGTGAGTGTGGGAAAGGTTACAGTCAGTTTACTTCCCTAGCCGAGCACCAGAGACTGCATAGCGGGGAGCAGCTGTGTAAATGCTTGGAATGTGGGAGAACCTTCACACGGATCTCAACCCTCATCGAACATCAGCGGATCCATACCGGACAGAAACCCTACCAGTGTAATGAATGTGGAAAAGCCTTCAACCAGTACTCCTCCTTTAATGAACACCGGAAAATTCATACTGGGGAAAAACTTTATACGTGTCAAGAATGTGGGAAAGCCTTTGGCTGCAAATCCAACCTTTATAGGCACCAGAGAATCCACACTGGGGAGAAGCCCTATCAGTGCAATCAATGTGGGAAGGCCTTCAGCCAGTATTCTTTCCTTACTGAACATGAGAGAATCCACACTGGAGAGAAGCTCTACAAGTGTATGGAGTGTGGGAAGGCCTACAGTTACAGGTCGAACCTTTGCAGACACAAGAAAGTGCACACTAAGGAGAAGCTCTATAAGTGGAAGGAGTACGGGGAGCCCTTCCTCTACGCTAGCTCCTCCCTTACTCAGAGATTTCTCAAAGAAGAAAGTTCCTCAGAGGCCTAGCTCATCTCTGAGCCTTGGAGATTTCCTCACCGGAGGATGGCTAGGAGAATCCTGAGCAGGGCGCATAGCCTTAGTAGGTCAAGTCCTTTGTATTTGTCCTGCAGGAAATATCCCAGTTCCCACTATGTAATGGTAAAATTGATCAATGAAAACGAAAAGCACTTGCCAGGTTTTCTGAAAACCATTACATTTTAAAGCTTCTAGAAACAATTTTAGATGCATAGGGAAAGTAAAAGGCCTCACTTGAAAACCATGAAAACTGATTCAAAATAGTCCCTTTCTTTTCCTTTTTACTGCATGATAACCCCTTTCTGAGAGTAAGCTTCAGTAAGTGAATTTTTTTTTTTTTCTAAAGTCAGTCATGGAGCTGATAATGTGAGTGAGAAACCCTGTTTTCTAAAATGACAAGCTAACAAAAGCCACTCTCCTTTTCATAGAAGCTAAGAACGAGAAAGAATTCCTTAACTCCTACAAATATTGATGAGCTGCCCCATCCACAAGTTCCATGTGTGTATATAGTCGTGCATCACTTACCAGGGGCTCGTGGCCTGAGAAATGAAGCGTTAAGCAATTTCATCACTGTGTGAATGTCACAGAGCTCCTCAGTCACTCAAGGGGGACTCTGGCTACAGTCAGGGACACTGGCCATGAACTGAATGAGGTGGCAGCCGGCATAAATGGCATATGCACTGCTAAACAACCGCTGTCTGTCTATAGGTAGGAGTACACTCCAAAGTAACTGTGGATCGTAAAGCTGTAAACTAGTAAGAGTTATTTGTTGTCATTAGCAATTTTGTTCTGTACTACAAATATGTGTGCTCTGCTCTCAAGCGGTTGGCAGCAGCACCATTCACTCCAGCATTGTCACAGACGTGTAATGAGGCGTGCTGAGGCATTGTGACGGCCGTGACATCATCAGGTACTTGGAACATTTTAGCTCCAGTATAATTTTCTGGAATTACTGCCCCGTATACATAACCCATCAAAAATTGAAGCAATCTTCTACATAAAACGGGCATATCTGTACATGTATACAGAGCTTTGGAAAATATCTTTTTCAAAAATAATGGCTTTACAAATGCAGTTTTTAAAGCTTAGAATTTAGTTTTTATAAGCACTTAAGAATACCAGATGTTACAGTCTTTTAAGACATTAAAAAAAAAAAAAAGGGAGATTTCCACAGGGAAGTCCTCTTGGTTATTTCCCTACATTATTTGTCAATCTGATGTGGCTTTAATGTATCAAAATAGTGGCTTACTATAAGACTGTAGGCGGTGTTGTACACAAGCAATGGAAGGATTCACATGCCAGTATGTGCTGCAGAAGACAGACATTTTTTTTTAAAAAGATCTGTTTATTTTTATTGGAAAGTCAGATACACAGAGAGGAGAAGAGCCAGATAAGAAGATCGTCTGTCCATTGAGTCACTCCCCAAGTGGCTGCAACAGCTAGTTCTGAGCCAATCCGAAGCCAGGGGCCAGGAGCTTCTTCTACGCCTCCCACATGGGTGCAGGGTCTTAAAGCTTCGGGCCATCATCGACTGCTTTCCCAGGCCACAAACCGGGAGGCTGAATGGGAAGCACGGCCACCGGGCTCAGAACTGGCACTCACATGGGATCCTGGCGCATGTAAGGCAAGGACTTTAGCCTTTAAGCTACGGCGCCTGGCCCCAGAAGATAAACTTTTGACAGATTCTCAGAGTGTATGCCTGGTACGTACATGATTATAGATAGGAGAGATTTTAGTTCAGTTATAGCTTTTGTTTCACTATTGAAGAATTCAAGTTTAGCAGAATCAAGACCAGACTCTAGGTCCTCAGATCTAGGATTCTGCTGGTCACATGCTCATTTTCAACCTGAGGCACCAACAATACTAAGTTTTACAATCCAGCTAGACAAAAGTGCAGCAATTTAATAAGCTATCTTTATATAGGAGTATTTCCCCTCCCCTTAATATCAATACTTGACATTTAGTCATATTGCTTTTTTTTATTAGTCCCCATTGGCACTTGCTTTTATAATAATATGCTTAAATCTTGGAACTCACCTGATGTCCCAAGAATGCAATCACCATTGAAGTTTTTACATGCAGTGCTATCCTCTTATTACGTATATTTTGCCTCTTTTTTTGTGTGTAATATTATGTATGCATGTTTTGTTATTAACTATATATTCACCACTTAAACATTTCATTTCTCCTGACTGTTTTCTCCAACTTTGGTTTTCACAATTGGTACAATTTAAACATTGTCCTAACACAAGTACTTTGTCCCTTCTGTCTGAGAAAGGTTTTAAGATTAGGACAAGTTCAGTACTCAGATAGTATATTCCTTAGTTGAGTTATTTTAGTCATCAGAAAATATCATTTTAGGTAGTTAAGTATATTTTATAAGAAAAATGAGGTTCTAAATAGAACCTCACACTGTACCTAGTAGCAGTGAGCAGGTTTGGTAGCAATATTTTGGTTTCTAAATGCCTTACTAACAGGAGCCAGGATTCCTTGGAGAAATGGCTGATTCCGTGTTTGGAATGGGAGAAGTCTAAAGTGTGCCTGAAATATCTTTATGAAGGAGAAATCATTCAGGATTGCTTTTGAGGACTAGGAGGGTAATATCTGAAGCACCTAAGCCATCTTACAGCCTCTCGCATTGGCCACGTTTAGGCAATTGATATCCAGAAGGATCACTGTAACACTCTACAAGGAGGCATAGAATGGTTAAAGAAAAAAGAAAACATTTCCTAAAGTTATTAAGAACACCATCTTCCAAATGTACCATTTTATACCCCTTAATTAAGACTGGCAAAAATCAATGAAGGATAAAATCCATAGGTTAAAAAAAAAGTTTCAAGGAACATTATTTTCATGGCATCAAAATATCACAGATGCCATTTACTCAAAATATTTGGGGGTGGGGTGGGGTGGGAAGGTGAGACCTGGTTGTCAACCTAAGTTTTTCTCATGGGCCCAGTTGGTATTTTTTTTTTTTAAGATTTATTTATTTTTAATGGAAAGTCGGGCATACAGAGAGGAAGATCTTTTGTCAGCTGATTCACTCTCCAAGTGGCTGCAATGACTGGAGCTGCACCGATCCAAACTAGGAACCCAGAGTTTCTTCTGGGTCTCCCATGTGGGTGCAGGATCCCAAGGCTTTGGGCCGTCTTTGACTGCTTTCCCAGGCCACAGGCAGGGAGCTGGATGGGAAGACAGCTGCTGGGATTAGAACTGGCACACTTATGGGATTCTGGTGCATGTAAGGCAAGGAGCCACTAGGCTACCCCACCTGGCCCATGGGCCCAGTTGGTATTAATTGATTCCTGACAAGATACAGAATGAAGAACCAAAATGTGTAACTAAACTTCAGCTAAATGTCTTATCTAGACTCTTCTTCCTCTTTACAAGAAATGTGAAGAATAGAGGAGCAAGTTTAATTATACAGTGAGAAGATAGATGGATCCAGAGTTTGGGACATTGTGCATGACAACTGCTCTGGACTTTCAAAAAGCCAGTATAAGAAAAAGCAGACTCTTGTGGAGTAAGACATGCAAGGAGTAGCCAAAATGGAAAGTGTCATCCTTCATTGGCTTCTGATTTAATCAAGCAAAGTGGCTGTCAAAGACATTTGGGGGATATATGTAGTAATGTGAAGATGGAATGCATATTAGATAGTGTGATATGTTTAATTTTCTTAGATGTGATATGATATTGGTGTGTAAGATAATGTCCTTAGGAGAGGCATGTAGGATTTTGAAGTTAAAAAATTCTTGATGTTTTTAGTGTATTTCAAATAAATATGTAAACTCAGCCAACTGCTGTTGGATCTTTTTGGTGGGTATTGAGATACTCCTTGATCATCCTTAATGCTTGTCTGCATGTTTAAATTTATAATAAAAATGGAGGCCAAAAAAAAGTTATTGGATAAAGTGATGAACATGAAGCTTCCATTCAGAATGTTCACATATTCTTGGAAAATTTCTGAGTAGGAGTACATCTTCCAGGAATGCAATCATTAGAAATAAAATAACTTGACGTTGATACCAGTTCCACTTCTAAATGGGATAAACACACTCCATTTTCTCTCACTATGTATGTTTGTGGATCTGTCTTGCAACCCTGAGAAGTGATAGTAGCAGGCAGATTTGGAAAGGAAACCAGAATCTTATTAAGTAATACCATTTTGGCATTCCGGGGGTAAGAATGATGATTGCGTGAGCATCTAAAACTAGTAAGGAACTGTGGGCCACGCAGATTTGGGAAGATCCCTACTGCTTCTTTCTCGTAGTGTCTTTCTCCCTTTTGCACTGGAGTTGGACGTATTCATGAGTTGTAAAGCCTTGCATTTCAATGAAAACTGGAAGAGGAAATGGCTTCTGGGAACTGGAAGATGTTAGGGCAATGACAGAAGGGGAAGTCCAAGAAAGTGATCTCATGGAGTAGCAGTGGAGTCTAGGTTTCCCGCTGATCTATGCACTTGGAGATCTGACACTGACAGGACGGTCCATTGCTTAGGTCTAATACTGGCCATATGGGATAGAGCCAAACAGTGGAGTACATACACAGAAGGCTGAACTGATCGTGGAGCCGCAGCCCATGGAAGCTGAAATGGAACTGGTGACCACAACTGAAAAACTGAAGATAAGTGGCCTATTAAGAAAACATTTCCTGTAAAAACTAAATATCCAGAGCTTCACTGGAAATGTCTTAACATACAATGCAGAATTATGAAAAAAACAAATCAGGAAAGTTTCAACAGTTGGTAAGCAAAGAGATGGTGGATACTAACTTTAAAATAATAGAGACTGGAATTATGAAACAAGATTTTTATTAAAAATTTATTTTTATTGGAAAGTCAGATACACAGAGAGAAAAGCCAGATAGGAAGATCGTCTGTCTGATGATTCACTCCCCAGGTGGCTGCAATGGCCGGAGCTGAGCTAATCTGAAGCCAGGATCCAGGAGCTTCTTGAGGCTCTCTTGGATGCAGAGTCCCAAGGCTTTGGGCTATCCTTGACTGCTTTCCCAGGCTACAAGCAGGGAGCTGGATGGGAAGTGCGGCTGCCAGGATTAGAACTGGTGTGCATATGTGATCCTGGTGTGTGCAAGGCAAGGACTTCAGCTGATACACTACCAGGCCAGGTCCATGAAACAAGATTTTAAGATTAGATGTTTTAACAGTATTTAAGAAAGTGTGACCATTCCAGTCATGAGTGGAAATGTCAAAATTTTCAACAGTAGATAATATTTTAAAAATAGTTAAATGGAAAATTAAAAAAAAAAATATATATATATATATATTTTTTTTTTTTTGGAAAGGCAGATTTACAAAGAGAAAGAGAGGAGTGTTCAGCCATGGGATTGGGACAAAAGGAGCCCCCTGCAGTGTGGCGGCTGTGGGAGGTGCCCCAGCCAGTCCGGAACCAATGCTGGGGCAAAGTCACTGCTGCCAGGCAGTGTAGGTGAGGGATGACTTCTGGGTGATTCCCAGCAATGGTGTCACAGAACTTTTTGACAAGCATGGGGACTGAGACCTGATGGTTTGGAGAAGAGAGTCCATAAGATCTATTTGGGCCAGACTGATTCACCAGCCCACATGGGAATCATGAGTTGGGCTGTTAGCATAGAGTATCACTGACTGCCACATACCAGTTCACACAAAAACTATGGATGGGGGCCTGTCTAGCAGGGCTAGGTTCCAGTACCTGACTGAGTGGTGGAACTGGGGATGGGTCACACTTGGCAGAGTCAAGACACCAACCAGCACATGAGAGAACCAGGTCTGGGGAAGGATGGGCCAAACCCTGTGGAAATACAAGTCCTGCTGGTTAGCTCATGAGCTGGGGTGGTGATGGGCTGAGCTAGGTGTGACCATGGAACCTGCCATCACTCACGGGTAAAGGAACTGACAACAGTCTTGGCAGGTCAAGGCAGTAGCACCCGAATGTGCATCCTAAAGTACGGGGTGTGCCGGGCAGGGCCGAGCAAACCTTAATTCACAAGG